CATCCCTGACGGACACCGCTTTGTGTGCGGAAGCTTTTGGAGAGCTCTCCGTACACTCTCACACGTCCGGAAGTCTGAGAATACAAAGAACGTATTATGTTTACAAACTTCCGGGCATTCCTTGGTGGGCAAGCGTCTCAAGAAGAACAGACCGATCAACCGAGTCGAATGCGCCTCGGAAATCCAGGAATACTAGAATTGTGGGTCGCTTATACGTATGGCGTTGTTCTAGCACCTGACTCAGTGTGAGGATTTGATCAACGCAGCCCATACCAAGTCGGAATCCCGCTTGCTGCTCTTGCGTCAGTATTTCACGAGCCACCGTAAGGCGACAGAGCACAAGTGACGCCAACCATCTCGTTACGACCTGCATCAAACTGATCCTTTTGTGGTTGCAACACTCACTACGAGCCGATTTTTTCGAAAATAGGCACCATCACTGACTCTCCCCAGTTGTCTGGGACAGATTCCTTTTCACAAATGCAAGCAAACATATCGGACCAGCGCTGACTGAGGGCTTCATTCCCATATTTTAACGATGGGGATTGGAGGTTATCCGGACCAGAAGCTCGGTGGTGCTTGAAAGAATGTATTCAGTCGTAAACCTCCGAACCCGGGCATTATCGCAGATTCTTCACAGTTGTCTGTCCCAGACAACTTTTCTCAAATGCAAGCAAACAGATCGGACAAGCGCTGACTGAGGACTTCACCCCCGTCTTTGAACAGTGCGGGTGGAAGGTCATCCGGACCGGGAGCTCGGTGGCGCTTGAGAGAACATATGCAGTCGTAAACCTCCGAGGCCGTAAGTGGTTCCACGTTCACCGTCCAGGGTTCTACTTCACCTGTGGGCTGCAGATGAGTGCCGGCTGGTGGCCACGACACTTGCTGTCTGACGTATCCAGCCCACCGGCCAAGGCGTTCTTCCTTATTCGAGATGGTCGTTCCATTCTGATGCTTGATGGTTTCGCTCACAAATGGATTCCGGGGACCAATCTCATGGATCAACTGAAATAATCTTCAGGTATTAGCCGCTTTTTGGGCCTCTTCCATTTCTTTGGCTTTCCGTGACCACCATACTTTACGATTGACTCGCAAGCTCACTTTCACTGGATGTCTGGCAACTCTTTGCATCGTGTTTTGTTCGGTACCGGCTAGGATATTTCCTGGAGATATCTCTCACCGTTTGAACTGATATCAGTGGATGGGTGAGCCTGTTTGGGTTGTTCCACAGATAAAGCTGTCAGCACTATACAAAGAGTTGGCAAATCTCGTCCCAGCATGGGTCCACATCTGATGGTGCAGTATTTGGAAGAGACTCTAGAAGACGATTTTGTAAGTTCGTCTGACATCTAAATCTGCCAGTCTCTCAGGTGCCAGGCGACTGACGGGGCGGTTAACTCAACCACTGTGCTTGCATCTCGAATTCTCGTTTCTGAGACACAGCACACATCAATGCCAAGTGAGTCCAGTGTGAGTGCAAGAGCAGCTTGTTGTCATGCATGCTTCAGAGTGCGAACATTGAACGCGGCCAGATAGACTGGGTGTCGAGGATTGAGGACTGATTTGGAGATTACTGAAGATGTCGGCACCATGTGACGAGCAGATGCTGCACGCACAACCGATGCATGACGAACGGAGTCATCAGTCCTAAGTGCTAGGCCTACAAGGAGAAAGTTATTAATGGGGTGGGGAGAGGGGGAAGAAAAAGTATGTGAAGGAGAAAGAAGGGAGGCTTCAGCAGCAGCCTGTTTTCGCTTACCTGCCCTGCTGTATGCCCGGCTGATGGCACCACGCGACGGCCGATGTGGCATGAGTTAATTTGTGTATGTGCAGTTTATGGTTGTACGTGGGCTGGGATACTGCCAGGGAGCCCAAACCTAGACAGAAGGACGATTAGGGTCCTCAACCAAAGTGTTTGACTCAAGAGCCTGTCCGAAAAACAGCGATGTTTCGAAGGAAGTTCAAACGAATCACCATTCCCACGGAACAGGTCGCCAAATGTTCCAACCCCTAACCTGGAGGGCCAAGAGACTGTTCGTCAGACCTCTAAACATTGAACAACCTGGTATGAGAGACTCTGTGAGTGTCACGGGGACACTTTCCAGTATAGTTCAGTGGATTGCTGAGGTGCGCAAACCGTCACACCACGGCAAGGTCCAGTCTCTTCGTGACGGGATATGAGACGTAACCTGGCTTAATTTGGATAGTGATTATGAAGGTTTTCTGGTTGCAGGGCGGTAGTGGTCACATTTTATTGGTTAGTTTGCGCCAACAAACCTAATAGGAAGTTTACGTACCTACTCTTAAAGAGTACAATTTATTTCGGATGCCTTGATCCGGTGGTTCATGATGAGGAAGCCTTAACTAGGTAACTTCATCCCATACTCAAGCTACACAGCGTGAGGAGTAGACCATTAAAGAATAGATGAAATCCCTAAACATTAAGACCCGTGTAATCTATACCGGTGGAAACATTCGGATGCGAGTTTCGTCTTGTGCATTGGCCCAAACAATTTATTGCAATGCAACCTGGTTCAGTTCTGCGTTTGATTGTAACATATTTCATTATTATTACTTCTTTTGTGACGTGGGTATGAAGGATTAAGCTTCAAGCTAAGTACCGCTGCATTGCATATAGCTGTATTGCATTTGAAGAAGATAGGCGCCTTCAAAATATTTTACAAAAACTATCCATTATTGCTTGTGCGTGAATGAATAAATCAAGAGTTGTTTCAGGGGAGATTCGAAGTGCTCTTATTCCCGCCCTAACCTAAAAGAGGACAAACCAGAATCCTCTTTGAAATCGTGCGCACAATTTGCATGATGCATGCATACATTTAACACATGAACGGCTACAAGATATCCATGATA